ATTATTATTTACAACTTGATTGATTGAATGTATATGTAAATTGCTGATGAGCAAAATAAATGATTTGAATTGAATAATGAATTGAAACAATAGTAATAGTATATATATATATCATGGTAATTGGTATTTTTGTCGTCGCTCAGTCGATTGCCTCGTTGCGAGAAGCGTGAAGCGAAGCTTAATTGCTCTAGAGCTAATATAATAATAAAGATACAACTTTGTCTTTGAACTTGAAAACAGAAGTGTAGCCCTAAACTAGGCTATCTGATCGAGGTCAAACAATCGTCTGTGTAAAATGTGTAATGCATCTTCAGCGTATTTTACATACCTTATCGTAATAAATATAACAAGCGTATCAATGTATTACAGCTGAACTGTTGGTACTGATTTACTAAACTCGGAATTTACAATTTTTGTTGTGGTTTCATAAAATTCTCATATTTTCCCGCCATGTTGGGATGTTCTAAACGTACAGACAGCTTTGACCACGTGACAGATACGATGACTTTTACACAACTTTTACACACAAAAATAACCCGCCCAGCCCATCTCCCTAGATTTCTAGAATATGCCCCTGTATAGCAATTTGCTGAAATTAATAGGTTCTATCACAGTATGAGCTTGAGATGGGATGTCTCACCCTCATTATAGATATGATATCCCATCGCAAGGTCTTTTTTCTTTTCTTTTTACTTTTTATTGCAGAAAGAACATTTCAGTTCAAATAGTAATTCAATATTTTGCAAAATTTTCAATTTATTTTTACTTTTGTAATTTTTTTTATTAATTAATTTTATGAGTATTATTGGCCAAAAACTGCCCCCCCCCACACACTTTACATGCACACACACCGTCACACGCGCGCGCGGACAAACACGCACGCACACGCACGTACGCACGCAGATGATGATGATGATGATGATGATGATGATGATGATTAGACAATTTAGACTACATCACGCACGATGCCAATATTGTAGCATTTCCTACTGCAATCTGCGGCGTTGATCTGTCTATTTTAGCAATTTTGTTTCGCTCCATCTTCAATATAGTCCATTGGCCTTTCAAAACTATTTAACTGGTCTAATCAACTTCTGCATTTTTAGCAATTTAAATTAATAATAATAATAATATTAATAATAATAATATTATTATTATTTTTATTATTATTTTTATTATTAGGGGGCCTATCTCCTGCTACATTGATCTGAAATGCTTTCCTATCTCATGAAGAAATTACTCGCTGCTCTTCTCTAAGGAATCACACGCTGGTGACGTTACAGTTATAATGATAAAAAATAATTGTCGTGGTCCTATTGCGCGTTTGCTTGATATTTTTCTTTATATATCTTATATATCCCGTCTTCATTTCGTCTACAATAACACAGTTTCCTGATCTTGGGATGCAGCACGCAGCGGGACTGACGGCCGTAGATGTTCAACCTGCTGATCTCATGCGCCACCGTAAACGTGCTCGTGTCGGGATAGTATATCACGGTTCCCGCAAACACGGTTTCACTGCTAGCACGGCCCCCCTTGCGATCGTCACCATCGGCTCGAGCAACTATCGTGATCAAATATCGTCTGCTCGTTTCTCCGCTCGCGCCATCGACGCTTACTCGCGCATCCTGGATCGTCTGCAGTAGAAACGGGAGACACGCGGTGCGGTACTTGCGCGTCTGTTCGTTGATCGAGTTCAGCAGCGCCACTGCAGCGCGGCGGACAGTACCGGTACTATCCGACGCCACCTTGACGTGACTCATGTCACACGCGCACCAGTGGGGAGGGATCTTTGCGTCGGCACACGTTCGATTCGGAGGCACGTCGTCGAAAAGGCTGACGCCGTGTCCCGCATGTTCGTAAGGTTTCGTCTGCCCGATTTGAAGCAGGTGCTTCAACGTCGCGTGGATGTCGAAGGGCGTCGTTAACCGGACTGCATTTTGCCGCAAGTTATCGTAGAGGAGGCGATGCCGCGATCTGAATGACTCTGGTGCGATTACGAAAGCAAACGGTGTCCTCTCTTCAAGCTTTCCGATCGTCGTCTGCAATTCTCTGCCGACACGCAAGCCGTGGTCGGAGAAGTAGACAACTATCGTATTGCGCAGAATCTCCTTCTCGTGCATCTTGTCGAAAAACCGCCGATGCATCTCGTCGGCTGCAAAATTGAGTCGATTGTGCGAATCTCTAGCAAGGAAAACAAATCCGAACTTGGATTTGCCGCGATGGTCAGTCGCAAGGAACTCGACAAAGTAATCTAAAAGCACTTCGCTGAGTGTCTTCATCCCCACACAAGGTGGCGCCACGTGATCGGTCTCAAAATGCGACTCCACCGCGCAGACGAACGGACGCAGATAGTGGTCCGTTGGCGGGCTTTCGAAACCCCTCTTTACATAATTGAAGGTTGACATGATGCACTCATCTTCGATGTATAGCGTGCGATAATCCTGCCGTTTGAAATCTTTCCATACGAACGGGAAGTCGTCGAGCGGCATTCGTTCCATCTCGTCGACGGTAGCAAGCTGCTGTTTAAACTTGCCGGTTAGCAGAGCAAGAAGATTCGGAAAGGTAGCGTCGCCCACCTTGTTATAGCCGAGCAACTCCACTGCGCCGAGTGTCGTCTTCAGAAACAAATACGTACTCGGCATCTGACGGATGAAATTTAGGCGGGAGACGGAATCCATGCCGAGTAGAACAACGTTAGGTCTTGCGGAATTCGCTCTCGGACTTTTTCCGTTCGAATTATTCGATTTAACGACGGTCATGTCTTCTTTTACCGGATGGAAATTTGTGTGATTCGCTTTAACGATGAACATGTCTTCTTTTACCAGATGGAAATTCGTGTGAGTCGCTTGGCCGGCGGCGTTAAGGCACTGAATATTCAATGCCGAAAATCCGCTGACGTCAGTGGACTCCGCGACGATTGGAAGAGGAGGTGAATATCTAAAGGCGTCGTTCGTCCTGACGCGAGTGACCCCGCGATACGAACACCTGCTGAATTCCTCAGGTATTGCCTCCATTCGCTGTAACGGGCCGAATACTAAACGCGTTCCTTCCACGTGTGTGAACGAGCGACGCGGGCAAACTGCCGGGCTGACATGTGTAACGTAACGCCACATATCCTCATCATATGGATCGAAGTCAAGAATTCGGCAACCCGGCAACTCCACTAAATATTTCCGATTGGTGTCGGACGAATTTCGATAGTGAGCGCTGACTTGTTGGGTGGGCATCCGTGGTAGGCCTACCATCCGATTCAATACGCTTCTGTAATGAATGCAACGAGTCACCGAATCATGATCAGGACAAATAGCGCATGACATTAATCAGAGGCGTGTACAGGGGGGGGTCCAGGGGGTCCGGACCCCCCCCCCCTGCTCGCGCAGAAAACGCATCTGAGGGGGTCTAATTTCAAAAAATTTCTGAGGGAGGGCCCCAGACCCCCCCCCTTCGCGTGCTCGCAAGTTTGGCTTACGGTTAGACCACCCCCTGGTCCAAATCCTGTACACGCCTGTAGCAAGAAAACCATTCGCTACGATCTAAAGCAATGAAGTTCAAACTTAACTCACCGAGATAATGTTGACCGATGTTGCGAGACATCTCCGGGCACATCGATACGCACGCTGGTATTTTCCACAACGTTGCGCCGAGTTAGTTTGTTGAATCCAACAATGATACAACAAAGAGTAAACAGGAGCAGAACGAATACTAGCGCTATAAATCGCACAGAAACTCGCCGCAGCAGGATTTTTGGGCGCATTTCACAGTTTACGCTGTGTTGCGATCGCCTACGACATGTATTTATTGAAGTAACATCAATCCTTGGTGACATATTTCTATTAAAATCAGCGCGAAGTAGTAGTGAGCTCGAGCAGCAAGTCTCCACGAATTGAACTATTTGGCGTTTTGTTAACCAGGCCGCTCCATCGATGGACCTGCGCCAAACAAGCATTACCGGTCTACGAGTTACGAGTTACAAGTTAAACTTGATATCAAAAGTACGCGCCTGCATGAGTGCTTGCATATTAATCGGCAATATCAAGCAGTACGTCAAACAGGTTTACAAGGGGATGAAACATGGGTCCGCCTTCTGTACAAATTTTACTTCTAAAAGTAATAACAGAACAATTGAGACCGTACCAATAACACATATAACACCTGCACTCATATGCCAGATGTAGATAAATCAGGGAAAAAATCACGAGGTTATTGGAAACCTGTTTGATTCTGGTTACTTCGTGATCGGCCTACGATATAGTATGTACTATAGAGTCCATTATATACGTAATAAATACACGTATAATATTAGCAAAAGCAGTTAGTGCCGTTCATTGAGTTTTTGTTTCAAGTTGCTGCATGAAATGAGATACCACATGAGGGCTATTTCATAACGGTGTCAGCTTCAACAGAACACACAATAAACTTTACACATCTTTATTAAAAATAAAATGTTCATAATCGGCATTACTCTATTCAACATACATCTGTGTGTTTAAAACACATTAGCGTTTCAACTAGAGTTGCAATGGTTACATATAGCAATCATGATTTGAAATGAATAACATCCGTTTTCTTGAGAAATAACGACTGAATATATCTTTATTAAAATATAATTTGTAGGCACACATTCATTCTCTCTTATACACGCGTAGAAATATATTACCTACATTTAGAAACAAATCATGGAATGTCATTAACATGGAATTTTGATATAGAAACTACTATTCTGTAGACATCAACATTATTACGTATTCCTAATATTATTGGAATAACCCTGCCGAATACCTTCAACGCAGTGGTACAAATTTGGTGACACACACAATATATCACACTATATATACTTTAAGCCGAATGCTTAACGTCAGGTTAAAGGGGAACACTAATACAGAATTTGATAGTACGTTACAATACTTATTGTTAAAAAATAGTATACAGCTACATATTTCTGCTATCATTGAGCTTGACGTTTGAACTGGTCATTGTCATGTCACCCACCGTACGATTTGCCCTGCTCCTTTTCGAAGATGAGCTTTTGAATGTTTATTTTGCGCATTCCTGACTTTTGAGCTAATCACAAAAATGTCATTATATTTATACCTGACCACTAATTACCTGGACGACTTTCTGTTTATGATAAAAACATGCAAAATATACTTGAAATTAATAGCAAAATTTGAGAAATTCCCACTCATTGCTTTTTTACATAGCATAAACCTACTATTTTTTAATGGGTATTACAACTACAGCAACGTTTCCCTTCAGCATTTTTATCTGCATTTTCTGTTTATGACACTTTACAAGCACCAGATATTATATTAGAAAATATTAATTTAATATTATATAAGATTAACCGGCCGGGTCATACCAAAGACTTAAAAAATGGTACACACTGCTTCTCTGCTTAGCACTCAGCAAAAAGAGATAGAGTGTGGAAAAACGAAGTTTGATGGAAACTGCGGGAACATATAGAGTAGCGCCCTGTGTCTCCTACTACATGCGCAACCAAAACCCCTATAAAAGATTAGGGGCGTCCTGAAAGACGACTAATTATTATTATTATTATTATATAAGATTTTCTGAAAATATACATACGCGAAACAACTTGTGTTGTTAGTAATACTTTATAGGCACCGTAACAATTCATACCCACAGAATTAGTATTAGCATTCATGTAAATATCACAATAGAAGCTGCACTTTACTCTCAATAGATCTGCTATGGACGATCTAATAAACACTAGGTCATTGCTAAAACGTTTTTTTATTATGTCTAGCTGAAAGAAAAGTATCAAAATATAGCTGCACTTCTGTAACACCGAGCATTGCTCCTGATCACGATCTCTGGTTTCCCTCTAAATTCATTACATTTATCAAGCATATACATGGGTCTTACATTCAAATACGTTTTTACGTTTTAATTACGTTCGTCTCTGTTTTTCTTGTTTGTGACACTATTCAATTCATGCATTCAGTGTATTGCACTCACTCACTACGAATGAAATTACTACTACTGGCCACCACAGCGATGCATATATACCCTTGTTATTGTCTGCAACATAAATTCTAACAAGGCAACACCGTAACGAGTAAACAATGCAAACCCCGTTGCCGTGGAAACTGTGCGACGATAGCCGAAAACTCGGTCGCTGGCCGCAGATAAGATGCTCGATCAAGCATTTCAACATGCGATAGTGAGCAGAGTTTGCGACGTAGGGGTTAACGATCACCGGGCTATACGAACACGAACAGCCATCTCCAGGCATACATCTCAGCTCACCTTCCAACAGCTTGCCAACTGGCATACCCGCTCCGGCGTTACATCAACGGACATTTCACGTTTCCTTTGCGCTTGGCAGCGGGCAGCGGCCTGCACGTGCCTACGTCGACGGACAATCGCGGTGACCTCGTGACCTTGGGGGAGCCGTCGTCCGACACAGGCGTGTGTTGGCCGGAATGTGGGCTGATGGTGCCCGGGGTTGCCCATCTGGATGCGTGGTCCTTCATCATCAGAGGAATGGAAAATGCCGGATCGACTTTGGTTAGTTTCTCCGAGTCGTTGCCTAGCACGTAAACGTCTTTGCTATCTGTGAAAGATCAATGAACACGATATAGGCATATATACACGGACTTTGGTTAGCTTTTCTGAGTTGCTGCCTACCACATAAACGTCTTTGCTACCTGTGAAACATCAATGAACACGATAGATATATAAAGATGCGAGGAAAACAGGTGATGCATTCCCTGTGACATTTTTGCTCAGAGCACGATGCTCAATACTCATGGCATTTTAGTATAAAATGCCGCTTGAGAAAAATATGTAAAAAACTATAGAAACACCTACACTACAGTAAAAAGCTAGGGATTTAATTCGAGGTCAGCTACTGTATACCAACATATATATCATATATGCGCATAATCACATGAAATGTCGACATACGAATTGCAACAAATGCAAGCAATAATTTCTACACCGTTTTTCGTGTACCATCATGGAGAACAACTTGCCTTCAGATATTACTGGAAGATGACCAGTAGACCAGGCTTCTTGAACTGCAAATATGAGAAGACACCCCATTAACCATGTTAACTAACAATAATCATAGGATGATTCTGTACTTATGTGACCCATCTAATTTCTTTCTAAAATACTGACAGCGATATAATTGGAAATCGTAGAAAGGTCCGACATGGCTCTAAAAGGCTCACATTTATACACTACTACTTAAAAAATAAAACTTGAAAATTATGGAACTGACGCCATGTTGGCAATATGTTTCAAGTAAATCATTTTTTTACATCGATTTCCCTTTTATGCCCATTGCTAGAAGGACACTTGCTCATAACGGTTTCTACTTGTGCATACAGCATGCATGGCAGTCAATAAACAGGATAAGGCCTAGAGCAATTACACCGAATGTAACGTGACATAAACCGCCATTAGGAAAAGCTGGCTGCAGACAGTACGAGATCACATGTACTCAGCTCATGGAGAAGCATAGAACATTGACACAAGCAGGTGCATGAGCACTGGCAACAATATCTGCAGCTGTATGTTGGTATGTTGTTGGTTATGCATTGGTTTGTAGTAGTGGTATGTCAGTTTGTTGTTAGTGGTACCGCGAGCAACGATGCATGCGTCGTGCGTGTGGAACTGCCCGTGCTTCATCCAGAACGACATCTGATTCGGGGAATATCGGCGGCGTTTCCACGAAGCTCTGAGTTGCTTGTTTTCTCTCCCGTCCTCATCCACTACCTGGAAATGAACATTAAACGAAATAGCTGTTAACAGCTATATAATATAATACTATATATATATATAAGTAAAAACACACAGACACCCATGAAGAGATAAGATCAATTTAAAAATAGAAATAGGTGTCCAAATTTTATTACGCGAGCTTTCGAGAACATGTGTCTCTTCGTCAGCAACCCCTCTGCAATCCCATAAAATTATTCTAGACTCGCTGGCAAAGTAGAATAATATTGCCGTGAAATAGCACTATTTTCCCGTTTTCCCATTGTACACTCTGGGTATTTATTAGCTCTTGATATAAAGCATCAGTGTTAAAGCACATTTTAAGATAACAGGAGTAAATGTTTAATCCCAGTAATTGCATTAGAAATGAATATCACAACAATGTCTACAATTTTGTTTTTTTATAGAATGGCAAGCAATAAGCGTACATAATACGAGTGACAATACCAGTATCAGTAACAATATACAATATCAGTAATGGCAATGAGAAGATCATATGTCACCTTACGCGAGCCACTCCGGGGCTGGAACGGGATCCCTGGTTTTGGTGCCACCGACAATTTACTTATAGCAAGGTGCAGATAAGCCTCTCTGGGCTCCACAAACCAGACCAGACCGAGCTTTTCCTCGTCTATCATCACAGATAATGGCGAGTCTTTCATGGATTCAGCTTTCTGCAAAACAAATCAGTGACACTAACACAAACACACAACCACATGCATGTGCACACACGTACACACATATAAATAAATGTTCTATTTACGTAACTATAACCACATGCACACGTACACATATACAAATAAATGTTCTATTTACGTACCTATAACCACGGATCCAACTAGGTATGTGCTATGATGAATACAATGTGGGATCAAAATATGACCAAAGACAATGCAACAGACCACACTTACGGAAAGCATGAGGTGGGCCTTCTCAAATATCTGAACAGCACGTGCTGCCACCTGGTCTATCGACAGTGGATTGGTCATAAAAGGAAATGCATCCTCTTCGATGACCATGCCCACTTTACTGTAATGGATCTTATGCAGACTGAACAGATTCGAGTCGTAGTTGAAGTTTCTGTGCTGCCACGATCCCGTGTGAGCGTTATAGACGTACTACATCAACAGCAAAAACAGTTGAAAGAACAGCAGATTTTCCGCTAAATTTCAATTTATAATCAGCTAGAAAATAATATAGCTGTCAGGTTTTTTTTACATTTATTTATAGATTGGTTTGACACTTTAATAGTACCACTGTAAAAAATCTCAATAACAGCAATGGTAATTATGCTGAATCTAGTAATAACTTACTATTGTTTTTAGTCTGATACTAGGAGATATTTATAAATACGTATTGCAAAACTAACATATTTATCCATTAAAAGTAGAGTGCTTTTTAACAACCAGCTCCCAATACAATATACCGACTCATTTAATTTACATGATGCTAATATAGAGATAGAGATGGCACAGTGGATAATAACTTTTGTTTGATTACAATAGTGACCTTATAAATATCCTTAGAGTAAACATCAGTATCACTAAATTTTGGACAGCACGTTATAGTGATGGTGAGGGCTACCTGAGGCAGGAGTTTCCAACCATAGGTGCAAACCATATCGACAGCGTCTAGCACAAAGTCGACAACATCATCTGGGAAAAAGTACGGTAGGTTCAACCTCACGAAACCTGGCCTGTAAGTGGAAAGCAGGGTTCGAAATTAAGAGCAACAAGTGGAAGTTTTACTGCCTACAAGAGAGAGTTTGCTGCCTGCCCTCAAAGCTGGCAGCAAATACTTGCTGCCAAGAAAAATTCCAAAAAAACCATAGTAAAAACAACAAAGGTTCTTCATGGGGGAGTAAATTGCTGCCTGCCATTTTCTCTGGCAACAAGTCCGTTCTGCCTGTCAAAATGGGTAATTTCTAACTGTGAGAAAGGTGATAAAAATAACACACAGGTTACGGTAAATGATAACATGACACAACATGACGTAACATGTTCTACGATGTTGCAATGCAACACAAGACGAAAGAACGTGAAATTGAGCATAATATAACATGAGGCATACGTCATGGTATTGTGACGGATGAAAGATAGGGTCAAAAACAGGGGTACTCGAATTTTGGGAATAGCCTCTTACCCTTACATGGGAAAGACAATAGTCTCGCGTGCGTGTGGGATTCTGGGATAGCATTATGGTATTCCGCCATGTTGGGTAATTAAAACCCTTTCGTTCGGGACTTCGTCGTCTGAATTCTTTTATTACGCATTCTCCATCCTTTCAGGCTCGACTACTCAACCCGGGTTACAGTATCTACTTCGTTTAACGATACGTTCATGATACAGTTGGCGACTTTAATTTCTTGACACTATAGCAACTTTAGTTGGACACTTACTTCATTATTTCGAGAGCTTGTTTCAGTGTAGTTTCACCATCCCTGCAAAGTGGAATATTACGCAGTGTTAAATAGGTAACTGACACTGCTAAAAAACTGTTACTAGCTGATAGTGCTAAGTAATTAGAAAATAATTACAATTAAAGTTACTAAAATATACCATTGTTATGTCTAAAATATCTACAGCTACACTTCAATAGGTGCTCTTAAATGCCTGCAAGCACATTATTAACATGAGGGTATGCCACACACTTGGCAGCTTGGTTTAAATTATATGCAGTGTTTCTTGCAGACCTGTGTGAAAAACTGAGACAAATACACACTTAAACTGTTAAAATTTCCTATTGTTTATCTCATTCTGTACGCTAGATAAAAGTAAAGAGTAAAAAGCTGAAAGCTTGTATTTGGCTAAATATTTTAAGATCATTACTTTGGAGTTTGAGAGAGAAACTCTGTAAATTCCCTTGCCATGTCTTCATCAATTCCAAGGAGATCCTATGTGAATAGAATGACACGAGAACATCAAGCTATATTAAAAACATAATTTTACAATAATGTTACAAGAGCAATGACATGTACCTGACATTTCATTCACTTATGTTAAAACTCAGCCATTAATAAAGAATATACTAATATAAATACAGACATGAACAGAGCATACACACCATTACAAAGATATTTAATATATATATATTAAACATCGTTACTTAAGTACATCTACAATGTGAAGATTCAAGTAATAATGTGAAATGTGGGAGCATGAATAATCAGTTCACACATCTTTATGTGCAGTTAAACAGTATGCACGCACACAGGCACACACACCTACCTGTGCATATGGCCCTGCACAAGCACAGCCTCCTCTGGCCTGTATGCCATACAGGTCATTCAAAAGCACCGAGATGAAGTTGTGGTGGAGAAACTTGCCCGTTTCCTGATTAAAGACAAGGAAGGCGAAAATTGGGAGCCTCCGAGACGTGTGGCTTCCCAAAATCCGCATGTTTGGATTTCTCTTCCAGGCGGCAAATGCCTTTCTGTCAGGAAAACAGATGAAAAAATACTATAAAATTCATCAGTACACAACACGATGCAATGAATAACATGTTTTCTAATCTCATTACCAATAACGCCAGAATTGTTCAGTTTAGTTATTGTTACAATGGTACATGATAAATACACTAATCAATTAATATAATTATATGTGATAGTTATAATAACAATGATATATGAATGCATGTATATTGCCACCATAATTAAAACAGTACCTACAGACATGGCAAATCACAAACTATTGACTACCTGCACAATTCATCCTCTCGTTCTTCGATGACATCCGTTCCGACTTCATGTTTCAATTGGAACACCATGCCTGCCCTTATCGACTCAATAATCGCCGGTGTTCCACCCTCCTCTCGCATCTCAATGTCTTGCAGATACAAATGAGTATCTCTTGTCACCTGCAAATGTTTATCTGTTCATTACAGGCACCATACAGAATATACCTTCATTATTTCAAAATTTCAAAATTTTCTACATTGTAATCAAAATTTAAAACATTCCCCTAGTCGGATTCATAATTTTTTATAATTAGCAATAGTAAGAACATTATGTTAGCTGTTAAACATGTTAACAGTATTTTCTAGACATAGTATATATTCAGTGTAACAACCATACCAATGGCGTGTATTCTTCCTAATACAGATGAAGGATTTCTCGCATAAGTAAAATGTTTCAAGCAGTGTACTATGCAATCACATCTCTCTGAATTCGATGTTGTAAACTTCTGATTATAAAAACCCAATTAATGAAGCTTGCATAAGTGTATAGCACCTATCTATATGTCATGAATCAACTCCACATTAATGATGGATGATTAGATTAGAATTAAATCCCATAAATAATGAGGGCTCAGGTTCACTAAAATATTAGTAACTATGAGATAGGCTACTTACGAAAAGAACAGTTCCTCCGCCACATCCATGAGGCACTGGATTTCTGAACAGGTGCTTTTTGGCAATAAGAACGCCCGGGGAACCAGGGCCACCAACAAATTTGTGTGGCGAACAAAACATTGCATCTTTGTACCTGTTAGTAAAGAGGTATTCTATTTTACCAGATTTTTCTACTATACTAATTACATCTTCCAGTGACTAAAATAATGACTATACACATTTAACAATCTAGTATCACGTAAACAAAATAACTCGTGGAGGCTTTCAATGGAAAAAATGTGTGTTGCCAACCACAATAGTTAGGTAAGAATAGAAAGAATAAGAAACACTCCACGCGAGTTAAATGTGAGGGAATATAACTTTACGTCATAGCAGTTTCAACCAAAGATATGTACCCAGTCTCTGTGGGATTCATGTCAATTTTTAAATAAGGTGCAGCAGTTGCATAGTCCCAGAAGCAGAGGCCTCCATATTTATGAACCAGCTCCCCTACAGCAACAGTATCCGTCACAATTCCTGTTACGTTGCTTGCAGCCGAGAATGCAGTGATGATTTGCAATCCTTCTTCCTTCCACGTCTGCATGAAGTTAATAAAACACACCTAATGACACGGCACAAAATTCTCAATACCTAACTATAGTGATACAAACAGCAGGGAAACTATAATAACCTAAAACAATGGTTACATGTAAAACAAATAAACTTGTTTCCATGCAGAATACTCTTTACAGCCAAACAATGCTCTTCTGAGAGGATACATATGTGTTATTGATGTGTTATATTGAGTATATCAGGAGTTAATAATGAGAAATTATTTGTCATTATTAACTCCCGAGTATATGAACCCACTTACATATATATAGTATAAATCTCTGTTATTAGTAAATGCATTTTTCATTCATAGCTATCAATACAAGTTATAATGATCGGGTTCGACTGCAACACATATTAACCATGCTAGTTATAACCCTAGCTTCCTAGTGCATTCAGATACAATTACCAGGCAATTATTGTTTAGGCGGTGTAAAAACATGTAATGTGAAATATGTACATGTGCCAACACATGTAAACAATCGTTAATTAACTTGCCAGCACTTAACTACCTGTAACTGTCTCTCAAGATCATATAGGTCCACTTGTCCTTTGCTCGTGTCAGGAATTCTGACAATCTGTAAGATGATAGATGGAGTAATCATCACCACCACATGTGATATTAATTTTTTATCCTAAGAGCAACTAATTACTCTAGAAGTTAAAAAGCCATGGTTTCTAATTATTTTGCATTTTGTATTTATTATAAATATATATTGGGTATATAGCATTATTACTATATCACATTATTTGTGCATTGAAACATACAAGATGGTATATATGAAAAAGTTACATCACCAAAGCTTCATAAAAAATGATATTTTAACCCAATTCTGTAGTGATATACAAAAAAAGTACCATACAACATACATAATTACAGAACACCATTAAGTTCACATCCGGTCATACATGTATAATGACCCATCCAACAGCAACAGCCTGCTTTTTAACATTCCATCACATTTGCAATTTTAATCATGCACCCCCCCCCTCTCCTCCTTCTCATATATGGGTACACAAACACAGCGCACAACTGCTTAGACATACAAGTTTAACGCTTACTTTACGGACACCCGACTCCTTCCAGGGCAGGATGTTCGAGTGGTGTTCATAGGGTCCGACGATGACGACCGTATTGTAGGCAGTCATATTGTTGTTGAGCTGCAGAGCCGAGATCAGTTTATGGATGGCACCGGTCGTACCGCTCCCAGTGAAGATCACCACGTCCTGTTCGGACGCATTCACGCACTTCTTGATGATATCTCTGTGAGAGAAACTCTTCATTAAAACATATCGACGTGTTGATAGCGTGAGAGATTTAGAAGGGTTTTTTACATAACGCAGTTAAAAGTAACGTGAATCGGTCGACTCTTCCTCACTTTTGCAGCTCAAACTACATTTTGCATGATGACCTGGTAATTGAGACTAGATGTCATGTGCAAACACTACTCAACCTCATTACCTGCAAGGACCTATGGGATAATTGACTTTAAGAGACAATTACGTGGTTACATATAAAGTGAATCGACTTATTGGAGTCTGTACAACACCCACAACGCACAATCGGTATCGCTTGAAAACACGCTAGACAGTACATTATACCCAAACACACTTAACAACTATCTCACAGCTTACGCCTACCTCGCCTCGTGTCGAAACTGTGTCGTCTGCCGTGATGTTATGCTAGTGGTTGTGTGTGTGTTGGCGTAGAGGGCATACACATAGTGCATAATATATTCCTCGATAAACTTGAGTGGCCTCCCAGATGCTGTGTAATCACAGTAAATCACTGAAACAGACATTCACACATGCATGCACTAACCAGAGTAAAAAATCAAGGCAAAAAGCAAAATAAAAAGCAATATAAGCAAATTTTATCTTAAATACCAAAGTGTAAGAGATAACGAAAGTATGTCTATATGCAAATTGGTTTCACTGCCAGATGATAGTTCAATTACAATAGTGCAGAGAATTTTTATCAGCTACAATTATCAATCCTACTAATTACTGTTTTATACTGGACAGTTCTGCATGACAATAATTATTTGTAATGTTTATGTGTATATTTTAGTCATGGTTCATCTTGCAAATTTGAACAGAGTACTAAATATAAAGTTTACAAGACTATCTCATTTTATGCATAATTACTATTACTAGTGATTGTCTAATAATTATCCCGCAACCAAAAAAGCATGTATTTTCTATTATCATTTTAATTATTATTACAAATTAAATTCTCTTAGACCTAGCACTCATTTTGAAACCAAAAGATTACTATATTGCAGCATCCTCAACATTCTGAAACAACACATTTCAGCAATTGTACATCAGCTTCCATCATTTTCATGCAGAAATACTTTTACCAGTTCTCAGTCCAAAAGGTCCTTCGAAGACTGTATCATGTCCGATGACATTTAGATCTATGTACTCGAGTAGATTTTCACATGGTGCATCTTCTTCCACATCACTGTCTTCAGATGAACCCTTCTCTCCCTGAACATCCTCCACATCATCGCACTTCATCGATGGATTGCTTCCATTCTATATAATGAATAATTGCCCAGTGATGAGCCATGCAATTCAGTATAGTATGATTGAAAGCCTGATATATGTATTCTGTGGTATGTAAAGTTATTTTCATACATAAAAGATTAAAAATAAAACAACTAGAGAGACATGATACAAGATTGCGTGGCACAGCTTTGCTGATGATCCTAAGCGCTCCGCGCGGAAGAGACGCGCAGTTCCGCGGGATATGCGCACGCGACCGCGAGGATGTTCAAGTATGAAGCGCTGTCCGCAGTGGAGACGTGCGCC